ATATATATATATATATATAGGTTATATGTTCCCGCGCGTCCCGTTAGTTCCTTATTTCCGATGGGTACAAGGGTATGGTGGCGCTGAACGGCCCCCCATTTTAGCAAGAGCGAGTGTCGACCCCCTGGTCGACTCGTCGTCGTCACTCGTGTTGTGGCGCTGACGAAGTGCATACAGTAGTTGTTCCTGTTTCATCGGTCAATCACAGTCAGTGCCGGCAAGTGGTGGGTGTGTACGTTTGGTTCTTCCGGTCTCGGTACAGAGGAAAAAACAGGCGCTCGAGCTCTCTCGCCGCAAACACCAGTCATGGGCGGTAAGTTTCACGGGAATATCATTTATTGCGAGATCACGTAAGATTCAACACGCGGTTCGCCGGCCGATAACGTCGCTCGCCGGTCTTGACCCAATGACCTTCATGTCGCTCGGACTCGCTTCGTGTCGACACAGTGTTAACCTTTTTCCGTCTCGCGACCGGTTCAGCGCCGGTACCCGAATGAATCTTTTCGGAAGAACGAATCACGTTCTCGAGGATTTATGTTCACGTGTACATACTCTCGCGATACTCTCCTTTTTACATAATTGTTTTTATTTTTCCGCTCATTTCACGCCCGGTTTTTGGGAGTCTCGCGTCTCCGACGCGCCTGTGCTGAAAGATCAAGGCGGCAAATCAATTGACAGAAAAAGGAGCAGATAAAAATTGAGAGTAGTTTACGATTATTGGCGCTATAATTGCATAATTTATAACCATTAGGTTACATCATTATGCTAATGCGATAGGATGTTACACCATTGTGTTTGATTAATGACTGAAAAGTTCATTTATTTTTTACTCCACTTATCTATTCATATACTTAGAAAATACAAAATTTACTATAAATAATACAGCAAGATAATTATAAAAGATTATTGCAATTGCATTATTGCAAGATAATTTTGCAATCCTGTGAGTTGTTTTGCAAAGTCAATTGTAATTCTTATCTTTCAACTCATAAGCTTTAAATACTAAAAAAAATTAATTTTTGTTTTGTAGTTCTTATTTATGTACCTTTTAAATATTCTTGGTGTCTAAGAAAAATGTTTTTCACGAGTTAATTGTATCCGTTCCTGTAAGCCGCTGCGCTAATTGACCGTATGATTAGCAAAGACGTTCGGCACGCAGTTCTCGAGATGCAAAGCTCGCCGAAATCGTCAGCGAGGAAAATCTAACTGCATTTCGCGTGTTCTTTTCTTTTTTGATAGAGACCGGATTCCTCACGTACAAAATAAGATAAGTCACCGTCGTCGGCAGTATCTCTTAAAGTTTATTCCTGGCTGTCTCTGAGAGGGAGCGAAACTCTCGGCGGCTCCATGCCAAACGTCGGAGAACGCGCGGGCACTTATTTTTATTCTTTAACAAAATTGTCAGCGTATTTGTTGCAGTGGAAAAAGATTTTGTTGCTGTTGTACGCGACAATATCGCGCATACCTGTCGTCGCTCTCCGATTGTTCGCGTAGATGGCGATTATTTGAATATGTGCCAGAAAGAATTCATCAGAGCGACGCAATGCGCTCGCATATCATCGCCGATATATTTCGGGTGTCGTCCAAAACCACATTTTTTCCACGCGTTTTCGTAGACCTTATTTAAAATTCAAATTTTATTAGCACATTATGTGAAAAGAGAGAATAAATTAGTACAAAATAAATTTTGAATACTAATAATTGTACGGAGAAATATTATGGTAATTATTCGTTGAATTTATTTGAAAAACCGCAAACAAAATTATTATTTTAGACAATCAATAATATCCACGAATTTAAATAATGAACAATCGAGAAATAAAGCCATAATTTTTCTTATGAAATAAATTACATTTTATTTATTATTTTTTATCGTTGCATTTGTTATATATTTCTCGTGGAATATTTGAACGCAAAGAAGATTAGAAAGCTTACCGAGATGAAATATTTTGTTATATAAAAGATATAAGTATCTAGGCCTCGATTCTCATCACGATTATTAACACATTGCTAGTCTCAAGTATCTTGTGATGGTATATCAATTATAGCATGTAATTGAGAGTTATGCGATAAGAACATTATGCTTATCGATCGCCATGACTGTATCTTGATAACATAAAAATATTAGCTTTCTCCTGTGAAATTAAAACTGTAATTATTAAATCGAAAAGTACAATTTCATCTTTCTTTTCTGAGTTATTTTATAAAAGATCGGATTTAAAATGAATCAAGTTATTCAATTTAAATGAATTATTTTTCTTTAAAGTTGTAAATAAACATTTAGAAACAATTAAATTTAGAATAAAATTACACTAGTGATTGAAGTAAAGTAATAATTGAATATTTAAAGAGCAAGAAAAGTTTAAAAAGTTTAAAGTAAGTAAATTAATTGTCAAGTTCATTAGACTTTATCGATAGCTACTGATACTATTTTTGTACTATCCCAATCTTGACCTCGTCTACTTTGGATTAGGCTTTCGGCATTAGGAGTCTGATGCGAATGTACCTTAGTATTCTCGCTGTAAGAATAGTCGTGTGCGCAAGAGAACAATGATTAGCATTTAAATGAAAAGAAAGAGAATGTACGATTAGCATCTAAATTAAAAAAAGGACAAAAACAAAATTAAATGTACAAGAAAGCGGCTTGTATGATAATCTATCAAATTAATATAACAATGGCTTTGTTGGTGCGAAATAATTTATTTTTCATATAGAAACTTATTCGTCTACAAAGAGACATTAAAATGTACACCGATCTTAAATTGAGACACTTTGAATGTATGAAAATTAAGTACATTGATCTTATAACGGAGAATCTGAATATATTAAATAGGAAATTCTTAAAGAAAATTATAAAGGAAAGAAGGAAGAGAGAGAGAAAAAATATCATTTTAATGTCTCAATGTAGACGAAAATGTATGAAAAATAAATTATTTTGCACCAACAAAGGCTCGGTAAGTCATTATTATATTGATTTGATAAAATTAAATGTTTTCAATTACAACGTAATAATTTCATTTAAAAATTTCGTTTTTTTGCTCCTCAGTAAAAAATGTCTTAGTAAAAAAATTGTAACCTTGTAATAATAATAAATTAATTAATTAATTTGCGCGATTTTTGAGTATTGATTGCCAATATTCGATTTGTGTTTTAAAATTGTCTCGGTGATTCGTGTCGAAATCATATGTGGTTAGCTTGTACGAACTTTCCGCGTGCGCATGAACGAATCATATAAGGAAATAGCTGGTTCAGCTTTGAGACACAAGTGCTTGACCTAAGACAAGGTGTATGAATGCATTTTGCTGCGAATGCGAGGTCGACTCCCTATTATAAGAGCTGGAGAACGGCTTGTATAAATATAAACCCACATCGGCAGCTTCGCGCCTCCTCGGGTTTCGGTTACTCTCGCATCATATTATATATGAAAGACTGTAGTTCCATGACTCTCCAAGGGAAGATTAAACTTTGCTATGTTAAATATAGCGGGAGTCTTGAAATATTTTTCCCGTCCTAACTTATATGCGAAAGAGAGCTTCGCGTCCGACTGGAAGATAAATTATTCCATTTTAAAATTAGATGCGCAGAAGAATTCTAACATAGAATTTTTATTTTGCTATATAATTTCGTTTACTATTTCGCGATAAATTTTTTCCTAATAAAAATTTAAAACATTAATGCCACTTGAATCTAATTTTGAATATTTTAATTAAAATTTGTCTCATTTTTTTATAATTGAGTTACATGGCAATAATTTTATATGTATTTTATATGAAATGGTTCATATATAATTTTTATAATTTTCTTTATTCTTTATTTTATATTTTGTTTTATTTTAATAGTAAAATCTGATATTTGTTCGATAGAAAAGGTAGGCGGACAAAATAATCATCCTGCAATAAATTAAATTGAACAAGGCGAATTTCGTAGACACGCGAGATTAAATGCAAACAAGCGAGTGGCGAAGTAACGAAGGTTCTGATAGAAAATAAACATCTGACGGAGAACAAACTTTGGCATGAGACGTCGAATGTGTTTTTGAGAACACCGGTAGCCAGAAATCCGATCTTCCGCGCTCCCGAGTCCTGCTGCTCTAGTCTTCATTCTCTCGCTTCTTTCCCCCCCGCGCTCTCTCATGACTCATTATTGTCTGTCTCCGACATTTATCCGCTCTGGATTCTAACGCACACCCCTGACATCCGCCCGCGCATATCTCACGAGCACATTAAAACGATGTTTCATCACGCACGGTCCTATTACGAATCAAGAACCGTGGCCTATTGAAGAACTGCTATTTTCCGCTTCTGAATGCCAATATCCTCTTTCGTGTTCATACAAATTATATAAAAAGTCATGCAGTTTAGGATTAATTATGCGATTGCTGTCTTTTAATCACGTGTACATATGATGACATTCTTCCTCATGCACAAGGTTATCGAGTGTTATTTGGCATGTTCCTAAATCGCGCCAGGCTCACGATTTCAAGCGCAAGTGATCCGTATCACTTTGATGCGAAAAATTGTAGCGCAATTGCGGTGGAAAGATTTCGACATGTGATGTGCCCCGATATTTTTATTAAAATAAAAGTTTATTTAATAAAATTATCCTTGAGAATATTGAAATAATTAACCTAGGACATCTAGAAATCGCAATAGCATCAATACCTCTTAATAATCTATATCATTTTACGTCATAAGTATCCGCTTATCGGCCTCTTGTTATCTTAGCTGTAAATATTGTCCACATTTCCATGATCTCCTTTGATAAATAGACTTAGTAGAGCAAATATATCATGCACTACTTGCATATTTTGCGTCAATTATTTTTTTTTATTTATCATTATTTTTATCAGTGCAAAATAAAATAGATACAAGTGTTAAATTTAATTTAGCATGTTTAGCAAGAACATAATTATGCGTATAATTATTAGAAATGATTTCGAAGCAATAAATCTCAACGAAATTACTTCTTCTTTTTTTCATATTTTATGCGATTTCAAGCGTACACAAATGTGGGGATTCAAGAATCGTATGATAAAATTCTAAACTACAATGCGTAGAGCACATCAACATGTCTCGCAGTTTCGGAAATTCTAGCCGTCTCTCCAAAAGACGATTGTGCAGCGTGTGGGCCGAGTTTCCGCGTAGATCCGCCTAAGAATAGGTGACGTATTTTATCCAGAGGAAAATAGAGCGTAGCCAAAACTCGAGTTTGCTTACGCGCGAAAGTTATTGCGATATCACGCGAAATAGAAATAGGATATAAATAAAACGCGATGAATTTTACGCCTGAGAGAAACGAATGGCGAACATTTGCATCCCTTCTCGCGCAATTCGCGATTATTGACAAATTTTCACTGCATGAGTAAAAATTTCGCCGGATGCTGTGACTTGATAGTTGCGTTACCTTTGCATTGAAGTATAATTTGCATTAAATGCATCATGCATAGAAATGACGCACTTGCATTTGTTTACATTGTCAGTTTAAACTAGCATCCACGCAATACCATATGCGAGAATCTACAATTCGAGATTTCACTTTTTAATGATAAAATGTGCTTATGATACAACTATTATTAAACTTATGATACAAATATTATTAAGTATAGAAATGTTATCATTTGTTATGACAATTATTTCTGCGAAGAATTTTGGATACACATATTTATTATTAATTATTTTATTTGAGATTTGATTTTTTATTTAAAGCCTACTTTAAAATAATTATACGACAAAATAAAAAGCATTTGATACCATTTTCTTCTGAACATCTGCTAAAAATGTATTAATTAAAATTTTCTAAAAATAGCTGGAGATTATTCTCATCGCTTAGAATTTGTCTACGATGCAAAACGATTCGCATTCATAAACATGAACTTTGTGAGAATATTAATTAATGATGATTAGAGTCTTCTGTACCGAGTCGAAAGGAAATGAGAGAGAGAGAGAGAGAGAGGAGAGAGGCGTAGAAGAGAGATCTAATTATATATCCAGAATTGGAAGATTGCCAACGTCACCTTTCGTTTTCGGCTTTTCTTTTCGTCTAGTTCTTCTGGTTGCATTCTTCTGCGTTCTCGCAATAGAACGTATCGGACGTGCAGCAGATTCTTTACCTCTCAAAGAGTTTGATTTATTAAAAAGGCACAATATCGGTACACCATTATAAAGTATATTGCATTTCTCAGTTTTTCCATGGGGCTTTTTACAGGCAATTTTATTTATGAACTTCCAGGCTTTTGTAACATTCTATGTTATTAGCTTTATATAGATATTTAACGTGCTGAGCGATTTTTTATTAAAAATCTAAATCGATATAATATAAAAGGTTGCAATTTTTTTTTATTTGTATAGGGATAAATATTAAATTATGAATTATTTACACGTTACTTGTAAAAATAATGGCTGCTCTTCAAAGAAGTCTTATGAAGCGACATATACATAGTTTTTTTTCGATTAATTTGAGGTATCGATGCTTGTAAGTACACATATTCGAAGTGCGGGCCCGCACACACGATAACATTTGAACTTCATGGAGTTCGTTGGCATAATTTTGCCGCCTATCTTTATTGCACTTACGTAATCACGCTTCATTTAAGAATTAATGTTAACTATGAAATTAATTTAACACTCAGCAGGTCGTTTATCAACGCGTGGAATCACAATTGGCTTTACGTATAGTCTTCCTCGTGTTGCTCGAAATTGTGCCGAAGGACATCCGATGAAAACAATACATTTACACATCACGGCATTTATTTTGAAAGTGTTTTAAGTTTCGTGAAACGCATTAAAATCGATATAGCAGCATCTTCGCATTTCGTTAAAATTCACGTTGTGTATCAAAATTGAAACTTGATTTGTACAATTTTTTTAAATAAACATCTCTGTCTTTTCTAAGATACAAATTAAAAAAAGAGCACAAATATTCACCAATAATTTTGAAATTATTTAAGTAATGACATAAAAAACATTTTTCATACGCAAGAAAAATATATTATGAATTTTTATCTAGCAAAGCACATTGAATTAATTTGAGATGAAAATTACGTTCTCGTAATTGTAATCGTTTATACATTTGTACGCACGTTTCCTGGACATGTTCACTGGATGCAGCGACGCGTCGTTTAAAATAGACTCGACCCGGGTGCGTCTAATAGAAGCGAAAGCGCCGTCAGGCATTTTATCGCGTGTCTCCTTCGTCTTTCAGGATATGCATGGGTCACACTGGCTACAAACGATGCCTACTCTTTGGGAGCACTGGTCCTGGCGCATTCTTTACGTCAGGTCGGCACCAAGTACGATCTAGCTTGTTTGGTCACGCCCGGAGTTACGGCGACGATGAGGTACCGTCCTTGCCCAAGTTCAATACAGCAATTACCGGGAGGCAACGCGCAGCGTGCAACTTGAGCAACACGCCAAGTAGTATCACGAGAAATAAAGACAAACTTCACAGTTTAATATACAATTTTGATTGCGACAAAAAATACGTTTGTTCTTCTTATTAGAATTAATAATTAAATCTATTAGGAGTTTCTATAGAATTTTGTGGTGTTTGACAAAAATTTGGCGTCGAAGTTTGATTTATTATAATTTGTCGTATTTTTATTTGCATGAGTCACATCATGCGACGCGTAGCTTTTTAATTTTACAATATTTACAATATTAAGAAGTTATTGTCATTTAATTAGGCACTCGATGTTACTCTGCGGTTTGAACATTAAAGAGCATTTCAACTACATAATGACATTCACTGAATTCTAGTCGCAAACTACCGACAATTTGTATAATCAGCATGTTTCTTGCGGCAGGGAAAAATTGGCGGCAGTATTCTCCGTAGTGCAGGAAGTTAACGTTCTTGATTCGAAGGATGAGGCAAACCTTGCTCTGCTGGCTAGACCAGAATTGGGCATTACTTTTACCAAGTTACATTGCTGGAGGCTAACTCAGTACGAAAAGTGTGTATTTGTTGACGCAGACGCACTTGTGAGTAACACGAAATTTAATTCACTGTACTTTTTACACTCTTTATTTTATACTATTTTCGTATATCTAGAGCCAAAGGGCTATAAAATTGCATCTAGAACTGAAACCAAAATTAAAGCTAAAAATCGTAAAAATACACATGAAAAACAAGTTGCATGTTATTTAATAATGAATAAATTTATCTTACGGTACAAATGTACGAAATAATGGACAAGTTCATTTTGAGTCGATGAAGCTGTCGTGCATCGTTGTAAACATTTCTAAACATTTGTAGGTCGTGCGAAATTGCGATGAATTGTTCGAGCGCGAGGAATTATCGGCCGCACCGGATGTCGGTTGGCCCGACTGCTTCAACTCCGGAGTATTTGTCTTCAGACCATCTCAACAAACATTCGCATCAATCACCGCATTCGCTGCCGCTAAGGGCTCGTTCGACGGAGGCGACCAAGGCTTATTGAACATGTATTTCAGCGACTGGGCTTCCAAGGATATCTCCAAGCATCTACCGTTCATTTACAATATGTGTTCCACTGCGACGTACTCTTATCTTCCTGCGTTTAAACAGTAAGTGATAGTTGAGCCGTAATTAAATCCTTCCGCTTGCTAATTCATGTTTATATTTTTGTTTAGATTTGGCGAAGATGTGAGAATAATACACTTTATCGGCATAACGAAACCGTGGTTACAGTATTTCGATACCCTAACTGGTATCGTCCAACCGCCATCAGGAGTCGGACACTTGCAACCGCTGTTACAACTGTGGTGGAACATATTCTGCGAACGAGTGCATCCCCAGCTGTCGATCTCTATGGTAAGTTGAACAATCAACAATTTATTTCAGTACAATGTACGTTTAATATGCTCAAGTGATATTTTTCTCTCCAAGTGATACTCGAATTGCACACTTGTTTTCTACTAAATTTTACATTTCTAATAAGTAGATTTTTTGCATAGTTAGTAATATAAATAACGCGTCTTATCACATTTGTGTCTGTGTAAAATAATAATAACATCACAATTTTTTTCTTTACACTTATGCATTTGTTTTACAAGCAAAGCAATGAGCAATTATATTCAATTGTGGATAAGATGGGAGTAAGATATTCTAGCGTATTCTGCCTCTACGTAGTGTGTGTTTTATTATATATTATTTTTCGCACTTTAATATATTTTAACTGACAAATAAGATTTACTCATTGTGTCACATATATTACAAAAATTAATATAAACGTAACAACGTAATTCCGACGTCGTTTTTATCGTTATATAATCTTTAATAATTTTACTAACTAATATCAGGATGAATGCATCGTGTTGCATTCATCGTTTTTGTGTAAATATAACTAGATAAATTTGGAACTTCCCGAATTGCTTGCACTTTTGAGCAATGTTTTTCTTTGCTGTGTGAAAGCTTGCATAATGAATGATAACCTTTGAGAGTAATTATAGTTACGTTTTTTTTTATTGCATCTTCATGTGATACAAAATTATGTGAACTCTCTGCACTTTGAATATATTTTATTTAAAATTCCTTAGGAAGAATGACTTATATTATATTTCACACAAAATGGGCTTTAAAATACATTTTTTTTTGTCTTCTTGTAATATATTTTTGCACATTGTGTATTAATAGCTGCATTTCAACATTATTTTATATCGAGCATATATTTTTGGACATTTACAACATGATTTGGCATACACACGAAAGTAATCAAAGTAATTTATATTTACACTTTGCTCACCTTGTAGAAACCCACCCAAAATTAATGCGGCTATTAATATTACCAAACATTTTCTAATAGTATTAAACCAGTGTCTATTTTTTTTCTTTAATCTATCTGTTTCTTCTAACTCATTCACCTGTAATTCGTGTAAAGATTTAATTTGGCCGCTAATAATAATAAAACACATAATAATATTTGATTGCATTACTCGTAATATTTGTAATGAATACGTGAATGGGTTGAGCATGAATGTTGTTCGTGTGGCATTTTGAAGCTATTGATACAATACTACACTACGTTTACTTATGCAAACTTTTTATCACTTGCGATATATTCATCGTCTAATACTAGTCGTAAATACGAGTACACAAATACGAATAACAACGCGGTACATAAATACGAGAAACGTAGCGTTGTAAGAAAAATGGACACTGCCAACACTTAGTTCACTTAGTAACCGATCGAGTGTGCATTTTTCTGTTTTGGCATGATGCTTGCATAGGCCAGCAGCACATTGGCTCCAATTTGGCACGCATTTGCTTCCTCGTCCTACGTACCTCCCAATCCCGCGGTCTCCGTTCACTCTGACGCGACGAGCAGCGACGTTTATTCGCGAGCGCCGGATTTCTCCGAGTTTAAAGATCCCTGGGAGCAGTACTCTCCGCAGAACGATTCGTTTCTGAATAACAACAATACGAAGAGCGACAATTGCTATTGCGCGCCGCAACACAATCAGCAATCACATCACGAGCAACAGCATTCCTCTTACACATCGGCACCGACGTACAATCAGCAGCAATATGCGCGCAACGAACAACATTGGCAGCACGCGACTTCTTCTCACTCCGGCGAGAATTACAACCAAGGTCATTCCGCGCAACACACTGAGCATCATCATTGGCACGAACATCACGGCAAACAGCGCCAGTGGAACGAGCAGAAACACCATCATGAGCAACATCAGCACCACGAGCAGAGACACCACGAGCATCAGCACAATGCGCAGCATCAGCACAATGCGCAGCATCAGCATTACGAACAGAGACACAATGAGCAACGTCATTACAACGAGCAGAGGCAACATAGCGAGCATCATCAACACTCCGATTCTCATAGAAACAAAGCGGACGATCATCAGCACGAACCGTTTTACGGACATTACGATAATGAGCGCCAATCGTGTTCCGCTGAAGTGAAACACGAAGTTCACGCGCAACATCATGCTAATGATAGCAACCAAGCTAGTCATCAGGATACAAACTATCAGAATTATTCGCAAAGTAGTCACGTTACGGATAATGAGAGTCAACATTGTTATCGGTGCAACGAGATGAGTAGCGAACAGTCGTTGAAAGTTGCGAACCAGACAGATACACGGAGAATCGATTCCCATCCCGTCCCTCCCGCACCTTGTACAGATCTCCACAATGTAGCCACGCGATCCGACCCGAACGTAACGGAACATCTAGACGATGCAAATGTAAGTAATTGTTCCCACATCTTTTTTTTTCGAGAATTTCGCGATTATGTTTGCTTTATTTTGCTAAAAGAAAGAAGAAAATTGTAATTACACTATTGTATAAAAAGTTTTCTGCAATTATACAGTGTACTGTATTATTTGTATATTCATCATTTGTTTCGACAATGCTTGGAACATTACTTGCACTTTTATTGGGAATATTCATTCAATACACGCCTGATTTTATTTAGTTCGTTACTTATCGATTCTTTTACACGTGCAAATTTTCATCCTGCGCAGTCGACTGATTCGAGTGAGTACGGATATAATTTTCTTTGTTTTTTTTTTTTTTTCTTGAAACAAAAAAAAGAGGAAGGGCTTTCTAATTTATATTCGTCTACTAACCCATATTACTTTCCACATTGTATTCGTGGTACGTGCATCGTGTTTTAAAGTACTCTCCATGTAAATAACACCAGCTTTGTATTGACGTGATCTATCCTGGGTTGATCAGAGAATCGAATAAATTCTTGCTTGCAATGTCCATGTTTGTCGTAGTTCGCACATTTTAGTCTAGAGACTCGAAGTGAAGAGATATCCGTATTAATTACACAGACGGGTCTCGCCGGTGCGCTGGCTCAACTAACGCTGGGCGAAGCGAGGAGCGCCGAGCAACTGGCGCTGGAGGAGCACGTGAGGAAGCAGAGCTGGGAGCAGGGGCATATTGACTATATGGGTCGCGACAGCTTCGACAATATTTGGAAGAAGATCTGCGAGACGCTCTCCGTCGCGCCGCAACGGGAGCCAACTCCGCCTCAGGAGGTAATTTATCACAATGAGCTCGAAGATCACCGTTACGTTTTGATCGTCAAAATCACACGCGACCAGCATACAACGGTCAATAAGCAGTTAGATGCTAAAAAAATTCCACCGATGATAAAACCAGACTCTGAATGATGAATAATTCAAGTCGTGATAAATATTTGTAGGATGTACCTGAAGCTGCTGCTAAAGCTGCTGATGAGCCTGCTGAGACCGCTACACCTGTTGAAGCGGACAAACCAGCCGGTATGTTTCATCTTCTACATACATAATCGCAATCACGTATCGTGATTAAATTTATAACGAATATTTTCAGCGCATTTTTACGATACACAGGCGTAATTTTTGTATTTTTTAAGTTACAATAAGTTAAAATTTTTTATTGCACCAGGAATTGAAATAACGACATGTGATATTTGACCCGACGAGGCAATATTCACGAGTTATTGAAATAATGAGAGATCTGTGAGATACTTGAAATGAGATTTAACGTGCTCACAAATAATGCAAAGCCATTAACTGTTTCCTCGAGTTTGCTTTGCGTTTTTGTTTGTTTTTTTCGTTCCACTTAATACAGCATGCGATATTCAATTTTATATAGTTTTGAATTGAGCGAGGAAACGATTGTAAAAATCGAAATAATTACATTGATTTGCGATATTTCAAACGAAAAAATACAACGCGATAAGCGAAGATATTCTTGTTAATGCAATTGATCTAGTTTGAGTGTTTGAAACAGGAACAGAGGACAGCAACTAACAGACCCTGGCGCCATAGCATTGCTGCGTCTTGTATTGTCGTTTTGCTTTAATGGGGTAAATATTTTATGTGCTCACACAAAACATCACATTTTGTAACATATTCATTTCTTTCTTTATCCTATTTCGGACGACAAAATTATATGTTGAATTATTCACTGTTTTTTAACTTTAAATTGGTCATTTTTGCAATTTAATTATTTTTATATTTATTAAAGTGCACTCTAATGTAATTATACGTGCATTCCGATTTGATGTCGAATTTTTTCTATTGTTTTTTCAATAATTTTTTCAACATAAAATACACAATAAATATTATATTTTTGAATCAAAAATTGTTTACACCTACAATTTACTTTCAAAGTTTATGCAAATATACAAAATTAATATACAATCAAAATGTGTGAGGTCAATTTAATGTTTCAAAAATTGATACTTCATGCTTTTGTATGAACATAATAGCATGGCTTTATTATTTATCGTAGTTGTGTATTTATTAAACATTTTGCGGAATATTGCTTCTTTAATGTGCTGCGAATTAATCGGCTTCATAGCGCTTTATTTAAGTTGCCGACGCATTACATGTGAAATGTGCTATAATCATTATGCTTTACACGCTTTATATTAATAATGAGCACATGAGCATTATTTATTTTTCATATGTAAAATCATACATATCAGGTCTGTCAAAGTATTATTTTGTTATACTCGTATATTAATAATCAATCATTCACGATTCATTTGCACTTTAAACACATTGCATTATTCAAACTCGTGGCTAAATTCGATATGTTGGAATGGAATCGAAGTCATCACGACCATCATTTTGCCTATTTTGCTTAAAGTTATGAAATGTAATGTCTATAAATATGTGGTCTTTTCGCATTAATTAGTATTTTTATTTCTATTGAAATTTATTTAAAAAACGGCGTATCAACCGTATAGAATTTTTGCACGATTTCTTTTATACAAACACAATTTTTTTATTAGAATAGTTCTTCCTGTATATATGTATGTATTTGTTCGATCGCATTTACATCTGTACACTTTTATTCTCTTCTCATCCAGTCGAGGCGGATAAGGATCCAACGCAATCTCTAGTATGCAAAGTTCCCGACGAGACGCTTTCGGTGGCACAATCTTCCGAGGGAAAAGCACCTGCATCACTTTCCGAAGAGAATGCCACGGTAGAAACTGCCGCGACAAAGGAGCCAGCGCAACCGGCCGCGGCGGAAGACGCTTGTGCGAAACTGACGACCGATCCGAAGGACGTGATACCGTGCGAAACGAGTACTGAAGTGCCTTTGCCGAAGCCGCCCGTAGAATCGCCGCCCGTAGAACCGCCGTCCGTGAAAACAATAGAGCAATGTCAACTGTCAAGCGTGCAGACGACGCAGGAAGCGTCGTCTCAAGGCGAGAGTCTTCTTCTCGCAACGAAAGAACCGCAACAAGCTGACTCACAGACGTCCGCGTGTCTTCTTTGCAAAAAGGAAGATACGTCTGTCACGCGAACTGACAGCGCGTCAGCACCTACCGAGGCGAAATCAGAGACCCCAACTTCCACTACTCGAGACACAACGCAGCCCACCACAGCCGCTCCAATTAGCGCGGACAGTCCGCAGAGTGTCGTTGTTCCTCCTGTGACGAGCCAAGCGTCGGTTGAAGACGCGGCTAAACGCGCAACCGATGTGACACAGCCTCTCACGATAGATCCGAGCGAGCGGCACGCAGAGATACTGCTGGCGGCTTCCGAGGTTTCCACCGTGAGTCCCGTGCCCATTCAGGTGGCGGAATCGGTTCTACAGGCGGAACCCAAAGAGTCTGTATCAGGCGCGACCGTGAGCGTGAGCGACCAAGCAATCTCTACAACGGTCACGGCTGTGCACGAATCCACGGATGTCGCTGCAGCGACGACAGCGGAACGCGTTCAATTGAACGGATCAGTTTGCGAGGCCGAGCGAGCCGGCGATGTCGCGGCAGTTGTGGCTGCAGTTTCTAGTCTTCCGGAAAAGACTGATGCTCCTGCCGAGCCGACGAAGGAACCACCGAGCGAGTCAGCAACGACGAGAGATGCGCCTTCGGAGACACTGTCGGCTGCTGAAAAGAAGGTTGAGTCTAGTAACAGTGCGCTGCCTCCGGAAACACCGTCTGCAGAAGTGGAGAAATTAACGGAATCCGCAAAAACAGAAACGAAGCCTCCGGAACAGATCGCGAAGACGGAAGCGGCAGAAGTGGAACCTCCGGAGCAGCTCGCGAAAGCAGAAGCATCGGGAGAAAAAGCCGCGGAAGCCGAGACAACGGAAGCAGTTGCGGAACAACCGGAAACAGCGGAAGATGCATCGAGCAAAGCTTCAGACTCACCGGTCGCCGAGCAAAGTCCACCGAAAGAGGAACCCACTGAAGCGAAAATATTGAATATCCCATCCACGCCGACTGTGATCGAGGCCACACCGCCGACCAGTCCGTCCGCGGAAAGCGCGCAAGAGACGGAGGAGAAAGTCGCGAAGAAGAGCCTGAAGAAGTCCGATTCAGCGGACGGGGCGGACGGCGAGGGCGCGGACAAGAAGGCGACGAAGAAGACGGTGAAGAAGGTGGTGAAGAAACCGAAAGCCAAGCCCGAGGAGGCGGCTTCCTCGCCGACAAGCGCGGACGGTGCCGTCGCGGACGGCTCGCAGAGCAAGACGAAGAAAACCGTGAAGGTGGTGAAGAAAACCGCTACGAAGACCTTGGAAACCGACACGAGCGTGCCGGAGACACCGCCGCCGCCATCGTCAGCCAGCGCCGATGCGCCTGTTCCGCCCAAGCGAAAGACGAAGAGCAGCACCGCGAGCGCGAAAGGAACGACTGCCAAGAAACCCGAGACGGAAGAGTGATCGGTCAATTTGAATTGACAATAATAATCTCGGGCGCAATGCGGAAGTCTGAGAAACGGGCGAATATCCGGGCGATGAGAAGGAAGTCTTTGACGCTGGACGCGCGTATGCGCATGGCGCGGGAATATATCGGAGTTCTACGAGGAGAACTTTAACCCTTTCGAGATTCTGCGTTTTTCAAAGACTGACAACAAAGTGTTGAGTTACACGATTATTACTTTAGCTTGTTGAAATGTTTGATTATGATTTCAGAAAGATTAATAATAAGATTAAATTTGTATCAAACATTTTTGCGTCAAATTGTTCCTTTTTCTTATAGTTTTCTTAATATGTTTTATGCAACGTTCCGCTCAACGGCTCGATTAGCGAGCTCCGATAAATTTTGCTCAAATATAGTTGATAAAATTGTTGTGACATCACCGAACGCCGCTTCGGAAGGGTTAAAGGGCACTGACACTAGAAGATTACACTTGCTAGTCTGTTACGGTTTTTGATACTTTTAATATATCTCGCAAGAGTTTCTATATCGCCGTTGAGCTCGATACCGCGCTCGCCGAAGGTATCGAGCGCTACCGAGAATTTAATCGATGTCGCAATGAATGAATCATATTTTTTTTTTATTATCAACGATATACCACTCGCTACTCCCATATAATGTATCCCTATCTGTCTTCTTATGTATCGTATTTCTGCAATTATCATTTCCTCAAGCCGACATTACTCGGGCGGGTTCTTGCACACTATAGAGAACATACGGGAAACGCAATCTCATCGGGTGTGTCATCCGAGCAATGAGAGCTTGAATATCTTATTAAACAAGCATTTTATTATATTTTCTTCGCTTTAATGCATTCGATAGAATGTATTTTAAGAATAAAGAAAAAAAAAAACTAGCTGTGATTGATCAGTTCTGTTAAATCACACGTTAGAGACTTATGCGAGTCGAATAATGTCAGCATCGTGGCGCACTGAATTTAGTAGACCGTTTTGTGCACTAATTACGTTTGTGAAATCACGAATTTACGTTTTATTTATATATATATTATATATGTATATGCATTGCAGTGCATATATAGAATCTTGTCATCGCGCGCTTATTTACGTCTCTATCAAGCAAAACAAAAGTGAAAAAAAAAATTACTAATCAATCAATCGTGATTTCATCGAGAAGCGAGAATATGCTAATTTATTATAGACACGAAAGCAATATAATACTGCGAAAACAGCAACTGAGATATTACGCGGAAAATCTTAGCAGTACATTTTTTCATTATACTCATATTATATATTATATATTAAATTATATTTTTCAGTGTGTATTTTTACTCTGTCTCGTTGATATTTCCAAGAAATATATAACTTTTTCTCATGATATACAAATATACCTAGATATATATGTACAAATAACAATCTCCTTATTTTAATTTAGATTTAAGCGAGTTATAGTTTTTTAAATGCATGAAGCATTCGAATTTTTCAAGAAAAACAATTTACTGCTCTTTAATAATGATTAATAAATAATAAATAATATGCTTGTATTATCAAATGTTTGCAAGAAGTTGCATGACATACTCCAAAGATGCACCGATAGTGCAAGATTTGCAATAAGACTTGTCATCAATAAAATATGTATCACTAATGAGAAATATATTATTATTACAAAATAAGCATTTTCTCTTCTGTAAACTTTCGTACGAGAAAGTTATAAAATGACTTTTCAGTAAAACGGTGAATAACATATTATTAATCAAAAATTATAATATAATAGTCTCTTGCTTTCTTCAAGATCTAAATATTTACTTATTTTATTGTGTACTGCGTGAAATATAAAGACAACTGCAATGAACAAAATTATAATTTCCAAGTTTCAGAGTTTCGTCCATTTAAACTAGACATATCATTGTGCACCGATTATCTTTGTATACTTTGCATTATTAATGTCCTCATAAATAATTTTAATCTTCTCGTTCTTCCTTTTATTAGGCTGTACCACGTTAAATTGCCGATATATGGCACAATCATACAATAGATTATGCAACACGAAACAGGAAGAGCATTCGGTTTCGTCGCGCCAATCCTGCGCGGGCGCACAAGTGTAAATACGATTCTGGTGCAGCACCGCGCGGGCAGTATGGCCGCCGGCGGCGTAGTGGTGCGCTGCAGAGTGACAGATACGCGATCGTCCGTTCGACTGCCGCATCCCTGGGGCGTCCGCGCGCGCCGCGCGAAACCGCGAATGGTAGAATGATCGTTCCCATCTGAAAGAGACAGGGTGTGAGAAGGTGAGAAGGACGAATCCGAGAGTGTGGGAGAAAGTGATAAAGATAGGGGCGAGTGAGCCGTGCGGCAACCGCCACTATCCCCGGCGCCGGTGTGATGATCAAGGATATGGCGGACGATG